TATCGAAATCCTGTACTTAAAAATTTTCAGAATTTTTAAAACGAAGACTGCAGCTGAGTTGTTTTCGATGTCGAGAAGCTTCCTGTATTGATCAATCTTCAAAAACCTGCTTAAAGGTGTCGAGAACCTGTTTTTCGATATGAAGGTATCGAGAACTTCAAATCTAAAAAATTACAAGTATCGAGAATGGAGATATACTCCTTGTTCGTTTTTGAAAGACGAATCCAACAGTATAACTTTTACACAAAATTGTTCAGAAACAGATTTACAAAGGCAGATTTAATAAACATCGAGAAACATGAAACAGAGTATTTTTCGCAGTTTTTCGTCGATGCAGATCAGTACTCGATCGGCTCTGATACCAGTTGTTGGTCCCAAATTTCAGGATGAATGAACAGCTATGAACTATCTACAATAATATAGAGAAGGATTCTTAATAATGATCGAGAGATAATCTGAACAGAAGAAATCCTTACGCTATACTATCGAGAACTATAGAATGAATGTTCTGAATGAAAGGCGCTGTATATTTCTGATTCTCGATTATTCGGTCCTGTACCACATGTACGCATATTTATAGGCGTAGGTACAGGTACCGAAATGGTAACCTAGAGCTCTGGGCCTAAGGCCTTTTTGGGCCCTATTCCCTTAGCTCACTTATTCTTTACATAAATTCTAAAAAGGATAAGTCTAATCTAATTGGGATAACAAGACTCTAGACAAACTTGATCACAACAAATATTTTCCTCAACAGGGTGTGATGACATGTCCCTCCCCAACGACCTAAACAAATTAGTTATAGTGACCCGATATGACCAGCTACAATTATTAGACCAGTTATCCAACCATATAAGTACTTTACCCGATCTAATAAATAGTTGCAATTATTAAACTCAATCGATCAATTGCAGTTACTCAATCCGACCAGTTACAGTAACCTTATATGATCAGTTACAATTACTAGATACGGGCAGATCTAGTTAAGTGACCCAACCGGTTACTTTCACTCGAGCGGATCGGTTACAATATTTACGAGAATCATCAAGTTACACTTACTAGAACCAACCATATACAGTTACCCAACTTGAGCACATTTACTAAACATGATCAATTATAGTTACTGATTACACTAGTTAAAAGGTCCGACAGTGAACCCTGCCGGTCACCACTACCCCACCCCCGACTTGACTCTCCATCCCCCTGCTACCTCCTCACCCCTCCCTAACCCCCTAGCCACCCCTTATCCCTCATCCACCTATCCATCCGCCTCCCACCTCCCCAGCCCCTTCCCACCCGCCCCATCCCCTGTCAAACAATGACTAGAGCTATTTAAGTGCTTTGTGTTACATTTAAGTTAGGAAAATTAAATTGGCTAATACCATTCCCAACACACATGAAATGAGTCTTAAAGTATGGACTTATCACATGGCAGTAGATAGTATATGTTGAATAAAAATAGATTGTGTTGAGTATGGGCAATTAACCTGACATTAGATAGTGTTGTGTATGAGGAGTGAATGACTGCAATTAACCATATATACTCTTACAACATTGACATGATGTGAAATGATCATGACCATGGTTCTAAAAATCGCTCTAGGCGCCCGATTAGTCCCTGCCTAGGCGCTAGGCGGTAATCGAGCGCCCCGATTTTAGGCTAGGCGCTCCGACTAATTGATCTGGCGCCTAGGTGAATTAGTCGACCGCCTTAGGCGCCTAACTACCCGCCTAGAGCGCTTAATCGGCCGCCTAGGCATCTAGATTCATCGAAAATTTTATTTTCTTTTTAGTTTAGTATTCTAAGAGATATACTACGTATGTATCTTTAACTCTAACAACGCATATGAAGAATTAAAATAAATACTATTCATGTTTTTATATATATTCTTAAGTGTTATTATTATTTATTAATAATTATTACGTAAAATTACTTGAAGTTATGAAGTATGTATAATATGTTATTAAATGTGAAAACACTTATCATTCATGCATGTTAGTGTGTGTGTATGTGTGTGTTTTTATTTTATATACACATAAACACAATATTACTAGTCATATTTATGCAAAAATATTAATAAAACTATAATTTCTATATCTCCGATTAATCCCCGCCTAGGCACCCGCCTAGCCGCCTAGGCGCTAGGCGCTGTGTTGGCGCCCAACTAGCGTCTAACGCCTTTTAGAACATTGATCATAACTATTAGTGCAATAATAAAGAGTAATATTGTCATGAAATGCAAAAAACATAGGCTAAATTCAAACATAGCACGATATTGTTCTAAATTCCTAAATAAGGCTAATGGTACGGTGTCTATTTGGACAAACACCAAAGGGTCAAATAGGCCCTTGAACTAATATACTTATAGCAGCCTTTTGGAATGTCTAGCCCCAACCACTGCCATAGCCGCCGGCTACCGGCCACCGGCGACAACCTCCAGCCACCGCCCATCGTTGCCGACTTCAGGCCTTCGAGCTGATCCACTGTCGATTTGCCCCATGCCACTGTCCGCTATAAGCCGACACAAATTTCCAGAATAGATATTGCCGCCACCAACGTACTCTCCCAGTTATTCAAGGGAGCTGGGGGGACAATCATTTAATTATATTAGATTGTGGGTATTAAGGGCACGAAATTATTGTGCAGTCCTATTTAAAAAAGATTTAGATTTTACTTCCATTTGTACAATTATGTTTACATTTAATCCCGTTAAGGATAATTACACTCAATAGATTCCTAAAGTGGATGAGAAGAGAATTTATGTTGCAGAATGATAAGCCTGTATTTTGACTCAAGTTATGTTTACCGGGCGTTGGTTCAAGTTTTGTGCTGTTTGGAGTCAAAATCAGGAAATTAGATTCCCGCATCGGCGCTTGAGAAGCAATCGGGACGAGTTGAGAAGCATTTGAGAGTGAAATGAGAGATTTGGAGGTCACCGGGAAGTTCACGATAAAGATTTGATGACAATAGTGCTCTAGGATTGGCTATGGGATCAAAAGAAGACAAATAGAGCTTAAAAGCGGCGATCAAGATGACCTTCGGTCAATCGTTCAAACATATCTCTTTGTAGAAACATCCAAAGAACACGATTCAAGTTTCATATGAAAGATAACTTCAAGGGATATAAATCATATGCAGACATTATCCTGATAATATGAGAGGAGAAAGGTGAAAACGGACAATGGAGTCAAATGATCGTTGTTCAGATTTTAGAATGCAACCTTCCACCATTTTATTCATATCATTCGATTAGATGATTCAAATCCAATTCTGCAAGTTATGGTGGATAAAGGACTTCACTATCAACAACTTTTCTGAAGGAAGTTTTGTCAAAATTGGACGAGAAAAGACCAGGCACGGTCGTGCTTGGCAGATAGGCACGCCGTGCATGAAGAAGAAACAGGTACCACGCCACTGTCGTCCACGCTCAGCCGAGCGTACGTGCAGGTCCGCTTGGCAAGCGTGGCCCCAAAACGGGAAAATATGCTCTGGACGCTCAGCGTGGGCACCGAGTGTGCTCCCCAGAAGACCCGATTTCGCCCGGATTTGTCCGTTTTCTATAAATAAGGCCTCCATACTCCTATTTTGGGTTTACGAAAATTACGGAGAGGCCTAGGGACGAATTAACTTGCGTTTTTACGTCGTTTTCTTCAAGAACCCTGTGATTATTTGTAAGTTCATTCTTTTTAATTCATGACAATCATTTCTATTCATCCATATTCTGTTGATTATTCAATTATGAGTTGTGAGTAGTTTAATTAGAGATTTGGGATTGATGAATGTGTTAATCATGATGTATGGCTAGGTTCTTGTCAGACTAATTGCATGAATGGTTTAATTGTGTTTAATTTGTGTTTGATTAATTTAACTGATATCTCTTGTAACCTAGAACACACGCTAGAATTACAATTGCATGTAGAATAAATTAAGAGAGATCTAGTTTATTCTAGGACACATTCACGCACACTTAGTCGTTCGCTAAGAGATTAGTAGGGATTAAGGGGTCGTAAGCTCGCTCGTCTTGGCAATAATTTAGGATACTATCACTTGAGAGATCAACCAAGTCCCCTAAATTATTGTACATACTCTACCCCGCGAGAGCGGTAAGAACTTAGTAATGATTAGCTAGGCTCAATTAAACCGATTTTATGTGATTAAGCCTGATCTGCCCGAAATCTGGTTTTCTCAGAATCAATCCCTTTCCCTTCGTCGTTAATTGAGAAGAACCCAATCTTTTATTTAATCGCTCATTCGCATTAATTTAATTTTAATTCAACCAACCAACCTCGCACTTCACATTTATTTTATTTCTTTTTAATTGCTGAATTTAGTTCATTCTTATTTCTATTTTGTCCGTCCCTGTGGAGATGATACTCATACTTCAACAACTATTCTACAATCTTTTAAAGTGCGAGAAAACTCACATCATGGAAGTACACTGATTGTTACCGGATGTGCATTAATGTCGTACAACAACTCGCTAATTAAATGAACTATTTTTAATTATATATTGCACAAAAGTAGTGCAAAATGCACATATTTTAAATAAGGGTATTTTCGTTATTCAACTTTTTAATGTGACGAGATTATTTTATACTTTCAATAATCATATGAATGTCTAAAACAAAGGTAGTCATATTTAAGGAAATTAAATATTTTTATTCATATCCCTGAAATTTTCCCTTAACAACTATATTTATATTTATAATATTTATAATCAATTTATGTACTCCCTCTTCATTGCATTTTTCATTTTGGATTGTCCAAAATAGGTCACATATTTCCTTTTTTAGAAAGAAGTATATGTGATCTAAATCATTTCATTTTAATATATATAAATCTACACTATAATTTTTTCTTTTTTAACCACTTTATTACGTAGTTCGATAATAATAACTAGGGCAAAACAAAACATGACACATAAAATGAGACGGAGGTAGTAGTATATTGAAAAATGACATTGCACATTTTACTAATAGAGTAATATATATATTTGCAAAGTCTCATTACATGTTTTGTAGGTTTGTAAGATTTCTCTTATCTTGGCATTGATTCCATGTATCAATGATGTTCAAGTAGATTACTGTAATATCATAATCTCCATATGCCATTTTATCATTCTCATGATACACCCAATACCAAAAGCATTCTTTTCCCAGATTTCTAACCTCAGGGCAACAATCGGGAAAAGGATATGTTGTTGGAGGAACACGCCCATCATTTCCATCATTTTGAATATATTGCATTATAAGCTTCCAACACTCATCATTTGGTTCCGGTTTGGAGCATTGAAGAGTAAGATCACATAATGAGAGCCTTGCTTTTCCAAATGCTAACAATAAAACGAAAGAGATGATGTAGATTCGCATTTTTATTTCTCTTGGCCTACCAAGGACAATAAATCGATACAATAAAGTTTCTCCGTGGTTTCGCTTTCACATGAATTTATAACAATATTTTTGCTAAATTCTGCAATAAATATAGTTTATGTAAGCTCGCCTCAATCGTTATCAATGTTAATGTTACAAGGTAACAAAATAAAACTTGTTGTTACAACTAGTAATAATAATGAACTATTCAATGGACGAATTTATTACATATTTTTACATAGAAGAGGCAAATAGATGTCAAGTATTTTATTTAGAGAGATTTACCTAAAAAGTACTAAAACTTATGAAAAAATCCATATTAGGACCATCACTTTTCCGTGTAATAGCATAGGACTATAATATAGATGAAATATCAAAACTGCCCTGCAAAGCCACTCTTCTTTCGTTCGCGACTTTGAAGCTTGCGCTGAAGGATGCCTCTGCAACGCTAGCCACTTCTTCTTTCAATCTTCTTTATTTTCTTTCTTCCACCGTTAATCTCTTTTCTTCTCTTTTTGGATTTTTTTTTTAACCCCGGAAGGCAAACCTCACACCCGAGGGGCAAATGTCGGGGGACACTTGCCAGACTTTAATTAATAAAAGTAGCGGGAGATACAAAATGAGAGGGGGACTATACAAAATGAGAGGGGGACTATACCAGAAATTGGCAGAAATTTTAACGAGCCCGTAGCGTGCTTCTTAAAATGCACGCTAGCCCACGTGGCATTCAATATTTAAATTAAATTAATTCTAAAGAAAATCGGTATACGCCTATAGCATTGAGTTTCCGTCTTTCGGAAATTGCGGACCTTCCCTTTCAGCTACCGCATGTTCAGCTGTAGTGACCAATTCAACCACCTCCGCGCTCGTCTTCTACCTCCTGGCGGCTTCTCGAGACGCAAGGGACGACGAAAGTTATTTCTCTGGCGGCGGCGAATCTCTGATTCTCCTCTGTTGCAACTTTTTCCGGCGAGTTTGGCCTGTGCAGCGTTTCTTTCTCAATTGGAATATCACCTCAAAAATTTTTAGAGACTTCCCTTCTTCTAGACTAGACTTATTCTCTGATCCCTTTCTCCCCTACGCAGCGACACCCCAAGACACGTAATTGTTTTTTCTTCTTTCAAGAATACATAAATTAATGCATTTTGACACTTCACATACTAGTTACCAGTATTATTTATTGTTATTATTTTACAACAAACAACTTCATGAACATTGATCAGCTATAGAGTGTAAAATTTCAAAGTTGCAACCTTGCCTTCTTTAGCATTGACTCATGGTACTCTGAAAATTTCACTAGCATAGAACACATCAAGGTTTTAAATAGCCGTAGTGGCAGCGGTAGCGGTCATCGCGGTAGCGGCCTGTAGTCGACGGTAGCGGTTGCAGCGGCGTGAAATATTTTCAATTGCACAAAACATAAATGTATTTTTTGAAAAATTTATGAATTTTGATATATTTTTTGAAAATTTGGAATACAAATAAAAAAGTTACAAGACTTTAAAAAAAAATGATGTTTAATGACACGAGGATGACATCATCCTTTAGGAGGTAATCCACTCTCTATTAAAAACACTCTCAACACCTTTACACACTTTTGACACTCTCTTAACTTCTACTACACACATTAGTAGTAGGGATGACAATTGTGACCGATCTGATGGATACCCGCACCGAACCCTCCCGGTCGAAACGGGGAAAACCGCATTGACCGGTGAACGGGAACGGGGCGGGGAATACCCATTTTATTTTTACGAGTAATGGAGCGGTTAGGTTTTTATATATGCCCGTCCCATTACCCGCCCCGTAACCGCCCTGTTTATTTTTAGAATATTTTTATCTATTATTTGTCTCACAACTACTAAAAGATGATATTTTTCTGTTTCCATTGTGTGTATATAGATAATAGATTATAGATGTATTAACTATAGTGTATGAATGAAGTTCATAATAGATTTAATAGTCTTGTTTGATTATTATCAGAATTTTTTGAGATTAATTACATATAAGATTAAGTAGTTTTAGATTCAAATTAATTTAGGTTTCCTTCTTTTTCGTCTTGTAGATATACCTATACGAAACATCAAAGTGGCGTATGAGTCTAGAGTCATCTAGGCAATACCACTTTTCGCCTTTTAAAATATAAATGACTAGCGGTCATTAAAACGATTACCCGCAGTTACTAGCGGTTATACCTGTTAAATTACCTGTTGGCAGTTATGGTTTGAGAAAGAATTACCCGTTGAGTAATAGGGCAGTTACGGGGCGAGGGAATTACCAAAGGCCCGAGTATGATTAATTATATGTAAAATCATTTTCGACCTGGCCCATTGATATCCCTAGTTAGTAATCCAAGAGTTTCATTTTAACTTTTTGTACTTCTGAAACCTCTGTCCAGTGGAAATGGTCTTATTGAGTTAGATCATGTTAGACCCGTATGGGCCCACATATTTGTAAATAAATATAGTTATTTGGGCTAAGGGCTCACAGGGACGGACTCAGGAAATTCATCTTGATAGGGCGGTAGTTTAAACAAAAAAAAAATTAGGGGGCAAGATATATTTTTCATATATATATTTTTCTATCTCTGGGACTGTACTAGAGTCCGCCCCTGAGGGCTCATAAATTAGTTTAGCATGGCTCGAACGTGTATATATGTATGATGACTTCTCATATCTTGTAGACACACATGATGAATAATAGATCAATTGTATCCTACTGGTTCGTTTATTTCTAGCAGATCATACCATTCATACGGACTCGCGGAGTGCATAGGAAAAAAGAATAGAAATACTCCCTCCGTCCCTTATAACTTTGCCAACTTTCCTTTTTTGGATGTCCCATTAACTTTGCCACTTTCCCATTTAAGTAAAGAATTTGTGGTTCCAGTTAATTCTCTCTCCTCTGCACAAACCTCAACCACACAGTTTTTACTTTATTAATCTACGTGCCGGTCAAATTTGGCAAAGTTATTAGGGACAGAGGGAGTAGAAAGTTAGGCAGGGTATGGACGGGCATCCCGGTTACCCGTAAAGAGAAAGTGATGGGCAATACGTGGTGTCTGATCGATGACCTTTAACTTGCCTGCCCAATTTCAGAATTTTTATGTTAACTTTTTGTCTCTCTTTTGATGTATACATATCAGAAGCACGGGACATTCAATCCATATGAAGCAGCCGGGCAGATTGACGTTCTCATTGCATGAACGTAACGTACTTTGAGCACAGTCTAATCATTCCGTTTTTTGTGGTAAAACTACAAAATATTCCAATATTTAATTGTAAATAAGTACTACCTCCGTCTCAAATTGATTTGCAACGTTTCTTGGAGTTTTCTTGGTCAAACAGTTTCGTTTTGTTCACTTAATTAGGATGCCAATTTTTAATTATATTATAATTTGGAGTTTACAACTTTAAAGAGATTTTAATGTAGTTTATGAATATGTAAATTTTAATTGTTAAAAATTGAATTAATTAGCATACGGAGCATTGACTTTTATTATGGTTGACCAAAAAATGTTAATTTTGCAAAACAAATTGGGACGGAGGGAGTAAAAACTACGAAATATTTAATTATAAAAACGAAAGAGTTAGGGAAATTACTCTTTTGACTAACAATGTTTGTACCGAAATATGATTATCATTTTTTTATTCCTTAAATGATAGTAATTGTTGTGATGTTTTGACAATACCATATTTTAGAAGTGACAATATTTTTAAAGCTCGATCGTAATTAATCATATTTAGAAAATAAAAATATTGACATTATTATTTTTGAAACATTTTTCCGGCATCTTATTTCCCAAAAATTACTGAAAACTAATTTTAGATATTATTAGCGACTCAGTGTTTCTACGTATATCTTTAATGTGAAAATAGTTTTTGAAATAATGAAAAAATTGGCCCGAAGATAATTTTATACGCACTATATACAACGTATATCACATGAAGTAATTTTTGTTTTGCAAAAGGTTTTGGTGGCCGTGGCGTCACCAATGGCGGTAGTCACATTGATAAAAAAGAATGTAGTAGTAACAAATACGCACTATATTTATCCTGACAATGGTGCACTAATTTATCAGACCCTAATTTATTTAAAAAAAATTACAGACCTCTAATTCTAAACACGACCAATCACAGTCTACTTTATTTACTTCGTGTAGTAAAGAATTAAGTATGATTGCTAAATATGAAGTAATATGTTTTTAATCTCTACAAAAATTCGAAGTAGTGTATTTTATTTTACATTGCTACAAAGTTATCTTTTTATTTTCCATTCTGGAATTTAATGTTGGTTTTCTTTTTAATTTTATAACCGATAATAATACTACAAGGTACATTTCAACTCCTAATGTATTATCGAAAAGTGTTACAATATCACTGAAAGATATAACATACCCATAAAAGTGTTACTCCTTCCGTCCCTAAATTTACTTCCAACTTTCCCTTTTCGTCCATCCCAAAAAGAACTTCACTTTCCCTTTTTGGCAAATAATTTGTGGTTCACAACATTTCTCTCTCTTCTGCACAACTTTCCACCACACAATTCTCACTTTGTTAATCACTTTGCCACTTTAATTTGGAAGAACAATCAGGGACGGAGGTAGTACATTAATTTCGCATGTGTGATATGATGTGCCATGTGCAGGACTGGTCATGTGTCTATATATATAGTACACTCTCAGCTCAAACCTCTCCATCACCCTTTCAGAGCCCTCAAATCTCTCATTCCCTGATTTCAAACTAATCTGATCTCTAGCTAGTGTTCAATATTTTGAAAACTGAAGTTGAAAATGTCGTTCTTTGGGATATTACAGTCGCTGTTATTTGTGTCCTTTCTCCTCATCAAATGTGATGGTAACTAGCTACTAGCTAATCTGTATATATATTTACATTGTCGAAATATATATGGGTTACGTTATGATTTACCTTTATCTTTTTCTGATAATTTCTTACTTTTGGGTCACTAATATGGTTTTTAACAATGAACAGTGATGAATTTCATTTTTTAGGCACTGATGATGAGTTCCTTGTGAATGCGACTTTGGTACGGAGTGATCCTGAAGCGGGTAAAATAATTTAATAAGTTTATCTATCTATCTATGTACTAATAGTAGTTTTTTTTTTCAATAGCGGTTTTTTCCTTTATTCACATAAGTGCATACTAGACCAATTCAAAGGTAACACAACTTTAATTTTGAGAAATGATAATTTGTTACGTTGTTACAACTTACAAGTCTGCTTGACGGGAAAACCAGCAGCATATTACTGTGAGAATAATGGAAAGGCTTACCAATGTGGTAGCCCTAGGTGTCATATATATAATAAAATATGTCCTGAATACATTAGGAAACCTAATAAATATGGAAACCTAATTAATAGTATTAATTACACTATTACACCCCCTCAAGCTGTGCAGGGGAAACAATGCGCAGATTGTCCCTAAGAAAAATAAAACGCTGTGGTGACAGACATTTAGTAAAAATATCTGCTAGCTGGAACTGAGTAGGAACATAGCGAACGACCAGATCTCCATGAGAAACTCTCTCTCGAACAAAGTGATAATCAATGCTGATGTGCTTGCTCCGGGCATGCTGAATGGGATTAGTGGACAAGTAGGAGGCAGAAACATTATCACACAATAGCTGTACCGGATCCTGAATCGAGATGCCTAATTCGAATAGAATTGAGCGAATATGTAGTGTATCCTGAACGGTGTAAGCAATAGCTCTATATTCAGCCTCTGTAGAAGATCGGGAGACAGTGGGTTGCTTCTTGGACTTCCATGAGACTAAATTTGGACCCAAGAATACAGCAAAACCAGAGGTAGAACGGCTACTATCAGGACATCCGGCCCAGTCAGCATCTGAATAAGCCTGCAAAGTAGAAGAAGTAGTGCAGGGCTGAAGAAGCAGGCCGTGAGCAGCTGACCCCTGTAGATACCTGAAAATACGCTTAACAGCCAATAAATGAGTAGTACGGGGGGCATGCATAAACTGAGAGACCAGGTGAACAGCAAATGTAATATCGGGTCGAGTCATAGTCAAATACTGCAGAGCACCTACCATACTTCTGTACTCAGTAGGATCTGCAAGAAGATCCCCATCAGTGAGAGACAGCTTAGTTCGAGTAGGCAGCGGAGTACGAACCGGTTTAAGAGTGTGGAGATGAAACCGATTTAATAGATCAGACACATATTTTTGTTGAGACAAAAACAAACCAGAGTGTGTTCGAACTGCCTGGACACCTAGGAAAAAATGTAAATCTCCCAAATCCTTCATGGCAAAACAGCGGCCAAGACATGAGATAAAAGTGGAAATAAAGGAGGGGGAATTACCAGTGATAATGATGTCATCCACATACAAAAGAAGATAAAGAATGTGAGACCCATGGCGGTAAATAAATAGAGAATTATCAGACTTACTACAGACAAAACCATGGGTTAATAAGAAACTACTGAACCGATAGAACCAAGCTCTAGGAGCTTGTTTAAGACCATAGATAGCCTTCCTGAGCCTGCAAACATGATTAGGAAACTGAGGATGAACAAAGCCAGGAGGCTGACGCATATAAACTTCTTCAGTTAGATTGCCATGAAGAAAAGCATTTTTGACATCTAACTGACGAATGGACCACTTATACGAGACAGCAAGAGATAAAACAATACGAACAGTAGTGGGTTTAACAACAGGACTAAAAGTCTCAGAAAAATCCACACCAGCTTGCTGAGTAAATCCCTGTGCAACCAGACGTGCCTTATAGCGCTCAACAGATCCATCAGCATTAAATTTTGTTTTATAAATCCATTTAGACCCAACCACATTTTTACTGGTATTAAACGGAACTAAATCCCAGGTATGATTATCAATAAGTGCATTAAACTCTTCAGCCATAGCAGCTCTCCATTTAGCATCTTTATTTGCCATTGAAAAACAGGAAGGATCACATGCCGAAATATCTGTTTTGAGAGTAAAAATAGTTTTCGGTTTAAAAATTCCTGCCTTAGCACGAGTTTGCATAGGATGACAATTTTGGGGAGAAGATGCAGGTGGGGAAGGGCTTGGGCTCGGGCTGGAAGAAACGGGGCTGAGGATGTGGTCGAATGTGGTCTGCCGCTGGGAGTCTGCGGGTTCGGCAGTGGGAATGGGGGTCTGCTGGTGGTGGTCTGGTGTGCCGCCGCGGGTAGTAGGGCTGGTGGCAGTTTGTTGGTGGGGTTCGGGTGTGTTACCGCGGGCAGCAGTGAGCTGGTGCACCGGAGTGTTCGACTGGTGATCGGAAACGGGCTGGGGCGGGAAAGTGGGTTGCATTTGTGATGGTAGAAAGGTATGAGAGTAGTGATAATCATGTAAACTCACCGTACTGCCGACGGGCATTGTGGAAGTGTTCCTTTGACGTTGAGAAATTAAATCAGAATAAGGAAAATAATTTTCAAAAAATCGCACATTCCGATTTATATAGATCTTGTCAGTAATAGGATTAAAGCAACGATAACCTTTATATTCAGGGGCATAACCAAGAAAAACACATAAGGTGGATCTAGGAGACAATTTATTGGCAGAAGTGGCATTAAAATTTGGAAAACAGGCACAACCAAACACACGCATAAAAGAGAAGTCAGGAGACTGGTGGAATAATTTTTCAAAAGGAGAGATGCCATTTAAATTTGGAGTAGGAAGACGATTTATAATAAATGTGGCGGTAAACACAGCATCTACCCAAAAATGAGCAGGCAATTTTGCATCAAGAAGCATAGTGCGAGTTAATTCAAGTAAATGTCTGTGTTTGCGCTCAGCTACGCCATTTTGTTCAGGAGTGTCAGGACATGATTTGCGAAATAAAATTCCATTTTTGGTAAAAAGATCACGCATAGCATGATTGTCAAATTCACCCCCTCCATCACTTTGAAAAATTTTAATTCTAGCATCAAGTAAATTTTCCACCATGGATTTAAAATTTTGAAAGTGTCTCACTACTTCACTTTTATGACGCATGGGATAAAGCCACGTAAACCGGGAAAAATCATCAATAAATAAAACATAATATTTAAAGCCACTTGAAGACAGAACAGGAGACTGCCAAACATCAGAATGAATTAAAAACAAAGGAGCAGTAGATTTATGCCATACTTCTTGAAAAGGTAATCGTTGTGATTTTCCTAACCGACAAGAAATACAATCATGAGAAAAATTAGAAGTACTAAGAACACTGCCAGATTTTTTTAATCTATCTAAGATACGACTTCCACAATGGCCCAAACGACGATGCCAAATTGGTCCGGGAGCAGCTTGTGAACTGAGAGCAACTGGGGAGGAATGAGTGATAGGGATCGGATAAACACCGCCATTACTAGAAGCTTGGAGGAGCACCTTCCCCGAAATTGTGTCCTTAACACAGATAGAATTTTTATCAAAAATTACAAAACAATTATTATCGGCACACAATCGTTGGATGGAGAGAAGATTATATTTAAGGTTAGGCACATGAAAAACCGATTTTAAATGAAGAGGCCTAGGCTTAGTAGCTAGATGCAAATTACCAGTAGTCATAACAGGAAGATTAGATCCATTAGCAACCGTAATTTTTAGTGGTCCAGAATAAGTAGATTTATTATTCAAAATACCTTCATTTGGAGTCATGTGAGCGGAAGCACCGGAATCGGGATACCAAACGGCTGGCGTGGCTTCACCAGTAGATACCGCTAAGGCTGGAGCCTGAGTTTGAACAAAACGAGACGGACACGCTACAGCTGAATGACCTGGGGAGTGACAGATTTGACAAACAACAGGTGGAGGGACTGAACCAAAACTATTCTCAAAAGAGGAAGATCCTGCAGAGACATAGTTAGTACAAAAAGTAGAGAGAGCAGGAGTATTAAACGATGACTCAACTGTATTACAAAAAACTGTACCAGGTCCCCAATTTTGTGGTGGATTTGTCCCTCTCGGATGTGCCGCCGGCTGATAGTGTTGTTGTCCAGGACCGAAGTACGGCTGGGCCTGCCCGTACTGCTGCTGCGGCTGGTAGCGGCCACGGCCACGTCCTCTGCCGCGTCCTCGCCGGCCACCACGCCCGCCTCGGCCGGGCGGCTGTTGCGGATTGTCACTGGAGGAGACTGCACGACCTCGGCCAGACTGCTGGGATTGATGATCGCCGGGTGGAAGTGCAGCGAACGCCGGGGCCGAGAGTGATGGTTCCAAGGACTGTTGGTAGCGTAAGCGTGCTTCTTGATGGACCAGCTTCGTGCCTAATTTGTCAAAAGTGAGACCTTCAGGAAACAAGGTAAGAGGACCCACTAGTGATTCATAACCCGGCCCCAAGCCTAAAAGAGTATATTGAATAAGATCAGCATTGGAAACCGGGGAATTGATGGAGGCTAAATTGTCAGCAATAGTTTGAATGCCACGGATATATTCTTCCATGGACTGATTCTCCTTCTTCTTGGTGTGAGATAACATCTGCTTTAACTCCATGGATCGTGCCAGGCTGGCAGCCATAAATCGAGACTCCAAACGTTGCCAGATTGTAAAAGAATTTTTCAAAGTGTGAACCTCCATCAAAATTTCCCTAGATAGGGTAGCAAAAAGCCAAGCACGAACAGTTTGGTCCAATTTCAACCAATGATAATATTCAGGATTAATAGATTGAGCCTGATATAAATCATAGGTGTATAGAGGCGGAGCAGGAAGGGATCCATCAAGAATACCCAACACACCATTAGCCACCAAAAACGATTCGAACTGAGTACGCCATGGCAAATAATCTTCTACTTTGAGTAATTTTGAGGTCACGATTTGTGTAATTGAGGCCCCAAACGTCATACCTTGAGCCAAAGTAGCAAACGAAACAGGTAGTGTGTTGGCTAAGGGGCTGCGGCCGATTGTCCCTGAATGTGGCGGCAAGAGAAGCCCCGGGCTGCCGGAAAGAGTCGGACCAGCAAACCGGGCAGCGGCGGCCGCGCTTGACTCTCCTTGTGAGTCAGCCGGAAGCAGCGTCGGCATCGTGAGGGACGGTGGAGTCGGAGTCCACGTGAAGATCGGCGGAATCCAGGCGGAGCTCTGCGACGTGGGCAGCACATCATCGGAGATGAAGCTTGCGGACGGCGGCTCGGACGCTTCTGTGTGTTGTCCCGCGCTCATCGGTGGCTGCTCGCTCGTCGTTGAGGAGTTGACGGCGGCAGTCGGCTCGGTGGCGGCGGCGGACACTACCGGGGAGACCATTGGAACGAAAAAAAATTTAGACTGTCTAAAACCCTAGAGCTCTTGATACCATGTGAGAATAATGGAAAGGCTTACCAATGTGGTAGCCCTAGGTGTCATATATATAATAAAATATGTCCTGAATACATTAGGAAACCTAATAAATATGGAAACCTAATTAATGGTATTAATTACTTCGACCATGGATTTGGTGATGGAGTGCGCGATTGGCTTGTGTATCTTGAGGTAAATAGATAGTATATATAAATAATACGGTGTATAATCCTAGATAACCTCAGAATAAGATAAATTTTGTGAGTACATTTAGCTTGTCTAGTCCGGGATATGTTACCGTGCCAAAATCCACTCCATATGTGTGAATTGAAGGACTTCGTCCAAGTCAAAATTCAAGCTTAAAACGAAGTTTTTCTTTTTGTAGTATATACATGACCAACTGTCCAAGTAATTAGAAGTAATTGTGATTTGTGAAGTACATGATGAATAAAAAAATTTATAACCACAGGTTTGTAAATTACGGAGTATGATTTACAGATTTAGTATAATTAATTTACTTGGCCGGCTGTGTTCAGGGAGGAGCATGGTGCAACTTGCCGGAATATTGCGCAACTGCATATGCTCACACTAGAAATCTTACCCTAGATCCCAAGCCGTACTCCTTTAAAGACATCCTGAGCAAAAAAAAAGAGGAGAATCCAGGTAATTAATATATTATCTACTAAAATTATGCGTGACGATTTATTGTGCTACACCCATTTTTTTAGCTTCAATAATGTAACTTTGATTTTATTCTGATTACCCCAAGCTATTTGTCCACACTTTATTATTTATTACTACGTACCTAGGTAACAAATTACATTATGAAAAATACTGTCAATTAAATTGATCTAGTCGTGTGTATTTTTTTTAATTTTCACGTACTCATAGGTAAGTAATTATACTCCCTCCGTCCCCCTAAGTTTGGGACGGAGGGGTGTGGTGTGGTTTTTAAGAAAAAGTGGAATTGTGTGGTTGGTATTGAATTGATAAAGTGTAAATAAAGTAAGAATTAATTCTAACCACTCAAATGTTACCAAATATGGTATGAGACAAACTTAGTGGGACGGACGAAAAAGGTAAAAAGGGACAAACTTAGGGGGACGGAGGGAGTATTATTTTTTAGTGTGTTTACTGGTAAATATGAATGAGAGGTTATTGCAGCTAAATAAGAAGAGAAAAGTATGTTACTTAATTAATTAATTTAATTTGAATTCATACATGTTATATATTTAATTGCGTGACTAATTAACAATTTATGTTGTAAAAATTTTCATGAATAGATTTCTTCAACTGGAACAGAGCTGTGATTTGGTATTGTGATGGTTCATCTTTCACGTCGGACTCACAAAAAGTCTACGAGTACAATGTATAGTACATACGTAGTATGTAGTACGCTGTATTACTTAATACATGATATCTAATACGGAGTAATGTTGTTATTATACTATTATTATCATCATCATCATCATCATCATCATCATCATCCTGCTTATTATTATTATTATTATTATTATTATTATTATTATTATTATTATTAATATTATTATTATTATTATAATTATTATTATTATTATTATTATTATTATTTTAGCTTTGGGTTATACTTAAATTGTCATGTCTGATTCTTAATTATATTGCTTGATCGTGTATAATTAATTAAGTGAACATGGCAAATAAGACGATAATTTTTTAATGCAGGGCACCAAGATCTATTTCAGAGGCGCACGCATATACAAAGCAGTAATGCATGAGTTGCTTTACAAGTTGGGAATGACAATGGCGAAAAATGTAAGCATATGACAATTTATTGCAATTTGCAAATATACTATTGTCCCCCAGACCCCCACTGTGCACATGCATATTAGTCTACTCTAATATTCAATTCCATGGTCAAAGTTCATGTAGTTTGTTGTAAAAGTCAAAGTGGAACTTTAATTAATGAGCTAGCATGGGAGTAGTTAGGTCCATAAATATAAAATTAGATAGTGACATATTATTTGTGATTATGCCATGCACGAATGTTACTAATATGCACTCTCTACTATTTAGGCTCTCTTAGTAGGCGGTTCAGCGGGAGGAGTGGCGGTGACGCTACATTGTGATGGATTTCATGATCTTTTACCGCACGCTACCAGAGTAAAATGTTTGTCTGATGCTGGATACTTTTTTCCTTCGTAAGTATCAAATAAATAAATATGATCTATATACTACGTATACGCTTATATATCTTCTTTAATTTTTTCTTAATTTGAATAATGTAATTAATGAATTGTATAGAACGGAATAAATGTGACAAACATAGGCTCATCATTCATAATTTTTTGCAGGAAAAAGTATGGGCATGGAGAAATATTCACTCAAACTTTTCAAGGACTAATGGCACATGTAATGCGTACTATCTTTACTAATTACAAGCTCACTTTAAATAAGTTGTCTACTTTTCAGATTGCTTTTTCAGTGCAAATGCATTTATTACTACCTTCGTGTGTATTGAACTATACATATATATATTCATATACTAGTAAAGCTGTAGTCGTTTGAATATTTATTTCTAGAGAAGAGCTGTAATTGTTTAATTTGTATCTATACTCGAAGCAGGGGTCAATTAAAGCCTTGCCCGAAGAATGCACATCCAGAATGAGTCCATATCTGGTAATATAGCTTCAATCCTTTTTTTTTAAATAATGAAGAAAAAAACCTCCTGCTCATTCTTCAAATTATATTGCTTCTCAGTACATTTTCAAATAATTACTATATTTGATGCATTATCTTTTAAACTAGCTAAACATAATTAATGCATCAAATAAAGTCATTCTCGTTTGTTAATTAAAGTCCTTGTGATTTTTACAGTGTTTCTTCCCTCAAAATGTACAAGAACACATCAAAACGCCCATCTTCTTCCTGATGTCCCCATTTGATACGGTTCAGGTCACAATTTGTTTGTGTGTGTCTGATTCTTCAATTCATATGTGCTTCGTATATTGGTTGTGCTGTTTTTAATGCTTGATATATATATTCATTAATTTTCAGGTAACATGGACCTTTTCAGGGAATGATACAATAAAGAAGTGTCTCACTACTTCCCTGAATTGCTCAACTGACATTATTAAAACATTGCAAGGTTTGTCAATCTGTTGACAAATACGTAGTACTTTTTTATTAACACAATTATAAAAAAGTTTTTATAAATAAGGACGTCGATTAGATTTCAAATATATATTTTCAAGAAATTAAAAGTATGTTAGATTATATTAGTAATAAAAAATGAATAAGAACAAATATTCACTACGTTACTACGTACATCTTTTAAGGAGCATGGTTTGAGCTACACAGAGTTGAATTGGAAATTAGCTTATAATTACATGGGGAAGTAGACTAAAACTTAAGACTTTCTTTACCAAATGATGGAAAAAAGGATTTTTTCGAGGAAGATCTTAACGTGGAGTTCAAGGACTTCAAATATAAGAAGGGATGTAATATTTTAAGTCATACTACGTATATAGCTTGGCCAAAATGTCACATGCTTCCTTAATGTTCTTAACATACTATATATATTTTTTGTCAATAATTAGTCTTTGGTAATACTTTATGAAATCTTGTACCAAGTGTGTTTGATTTTGCACGCAGATCTAAGATTGGAATTTCTCAGCGTGTTGCCAAAACTAAGCAATGCATCATCAAGAGGGATTTTGATTACCTCCCCTACAACTCACGAACAACTGTCCAATTATAGATGGAACAACGATATGGTTGTAGACGGGAGTGACGAGGTACGTGCAAATCTTTAAATTAATTCAAACCATCAAATACGTAATACGGAGTACATACTTTTTATATATATACGGAGTATATACAACTAAAGTGTGTGTATATATAAATAATTACCTAATTAAATGTTTGAAGTAATTACGTACTACATACATCTATCCAAATTTCTTCAGAATTTTCCTTTTAGAAATTGTCTTGAAGGAAGTAAAGACGTTTTAAAATTTCAAAATAGAATTTTCAGGTTTTTTTGTCAAGGTTGGAAAAAAACTTGGCAAAAATTGTCATACTTAAAATCTGATAATGCTAAACTTGGCTGAAACTACTAATGTTTATAATTTCAAATTTTTTTATTCCTATTTATGGAATTTCTCCTTTTTTACTACCCAAAAAGTTCTTTTGCTTTACTCGTTTATTTTAGAGTAAGGAATAGTTACATTGCAACAAAGTCACGTCGAGTTAAAAAAAATGTCACTATACGGTAGAACTTGCCATGTTTTATACGGACTTAGGGAGTATATAAGTACTTCATGTTAGTGCATAAATCATGATGATAATGCACATTTGAGAATGTGACGGATCTATGATACCATACTACGTAGATTGTTTGACGAAAATATTTCCAATTATTGATTTTTTTTTTCATATTTACTTCGTAGATTGTTTGACGAAAATTGTTCCAATTATTGTTTTTTTTTCATATTTACTTCAATTTCCATTATTGTACGTCGTATTACTTTATTTTGTGACTTTCTTTTTATTCTGTACAGAAAATCTCTAAACTATTTGGCGACTGGTACTTTGAGCGAAAAGCCGTTCAAATTATCGACAAATATGCATGTCCATATAATTGTTCCGTAAGAAACAATAACGGTAATAATGATACGGTGCCAGCTGCTATCTTCAACAAGGGATTAATTTTATTGATCCTTTTATTGAATTGGATGGTTGTCTTGTTATAATATGATTATTATCGATGATATGTTCTTATCATGTTATGTACTTGATACTTGTTCTGTTGTTAATTAATTGTTGGAATATTGTTTTGACATACGTTTGCTATCATATGACTGGCAATTAATATATTGCGTAATGCTCTGTTAATTAAAATTGTAAAAAGTTGTCAACAGTTGTATCCAAAAACAAATACTCCGTATTATAATATTTCGCATAATATAATTTGTTCGCAGATAACAAATGTATTCAAAATTAAATGTGTTTTTTCTTAAATAAACTAATAAAAATGTTATAGACAAACATGTGACTTTGTGACTATTAGTGATTACTATTTTGTTCAAAATTTACATCATAGTAGCTTAAAATTTAGTGATTATGATATAAATCTCAAAGACAATTATAGCCGTTAATAGTTACTAAGTACAAATAATATTTTTGTCAATCACATTTTAAAGAGTACCTCCTCCGTCTCTTAATATTTTTGTTTTTTGGATGTCCCAATAACTTTGTTATTATCCCTTTTAAGTAAAAAAAATTATGATTTTAGTTAATTCTTTTTCCTCTGCACAAAACTCAACCCCACAACAACAACAACATCCAAGTCTTTATCCCAAAAAAATTTGGGGTCGACTAACATAAATCGATCCATGATATCAGTACGAAAAAAATGAGAAGAGAGATAAGGGAAAGAAAATAAGATAAAATGGATAAGATAAAGAAAAATATAAGATAACAAAACCATAACAATATGAGAAAGCTAAGATAAGAGATAAACAAATAAAAGAGCATAAAAATGATAAAACATGAAAATAACATAAAAAGATGATGAATATAAACGGTAAAAGAAGACAAGAGAGAAAAATAGAAAAGAGATCACTCGTCCACACGAATGTGTGACCTCCATTTTGCTCTCTACAAAGTCATATATACTCTTATCAGTTTTGATTCTTCTAATCCAAATTTGTTTGATTCTTTCTCTCCCTAGCTCTCCTCTCTGCCTCTCCTCTGATCTCTACCTCTCAAGTCGTCTAATAGGAGCATTACTCGTCAAACTTCAATCACACAATTTTTAAATTTGGAAAATTTTTAAGAGATGGAGGAGTAATATATATATGATTTTTTTTCAAATAGAATAGGAATATGACGGAGAAGTTAAATTGTTTTAAATTAAAGAACGCGAACCTTTTTAATGTACGTTGTCATGACTAAGATTATGTATATTAAACATTATATGTTTGGATGGACTGAACTTTATGAATCTTTTAAACAAAAAGAGATCATTTTTAAAAATTTTAAAAAATGTGACTAATAAGATTTAAACTTACTAAATCACTCCTAATGAGTTTAGATGTGGGTCAGTGGCGGATCCAGGATTAAATTTAATTGGGGGCGGAAAAATTAGAAAAGGCATCATAAAAATATAATACTTCCTTCATCTGATTCTATGCGTTTTCTTTTGGTTTGAAACGATTATTAGTAAAATGGTTGTAATAATAAAAATTGTAACTGTTCGAGATTTGAATATAATACAGTGAAATGTTGTAGATCACATATTTTTATGACACTTATTTTGAAATAACCAAATAGGAAACTAAGATGTAAAATGGGGCGGGAGAAGTAACAAGGTATTAATGTATTACTACGTATTAGGATAACATATGTTTTAATAAAATACATCATAATTGCTCGCATTGAGTTTTCATCTTTTCAACGAGATCTATGACAATTTAGTTTTTAATAGTTTCAAACACATATTTTTCAATAAAACAATTAGAAAATATATTTATGACTAAAATAAAGATTATTTACAAAAATATGACTAGTGACTAGAATAATAATAATAATGAAATCATTTTAACTTATGCTCAATTTTTAGGCATATTTGTGTAAATAAGTACTCCCTCCGTTCCAAATTGTTTTGCATAGTCAACATTTTTTGGTTAACCAATAATAAAATCCAATCATCCTTATTGATAATTAACTAATTTTTAATAATTAAACTTTACATGTTCAGAAACTAAATTAAAATTTCTTCAAAGTTGCAAACTCCAAATTACAATATAATTAAAAATTGAGATCCTTATTAAGCAAATAAAATGAAACTGTTTGACCAAGAAAAGTCAAATTTTCAAATCAATTTGGGACGGAGGTAGTATTTTTTAATAAAATTTTTGAAAAAATCCATTGACCAATCAATAATCCTATAATAAATTACTAACGTTATAATAAGTTTAATAACATGATTTAATATTTATGTTTATATAAAAAAAATAAAAGTTCGAATTGTGTCTATGGCCTTAAAAGTAAACAACAGAAATTACATAATCTCACACACAAATTACCTACTGAGGACTAAACAACCAAGCAAGTACACAGGACATTCAAATTGATAAAACAATTAAAACTAAAGTGAACGGATGTGCACGATGGAGCGGCTAATCTTTTGCGGAGTTGGGAGTCCTTAATTTCCCTTTTCGTATCCTGCCTGTTGTTGTTCTATTGGGGGCAATTTCATCAGCTTCTAATATTTGTTAAGAACTTCTAAGGTATTAGTGAACTTTTATTGGGGTGTGGTGACATGTCCCTCCCCAACGACCTAAACAAATTAGTTACAGTGATCCGATATGACCAGCTACAATTATTAGACCAATTATCCAACCATATTAGTACTTTACCCGATCTAATAAACAGTTGCAATTATTAAACTCAATCGATCAATTGCAGTTACTCAATCCGACCAGTTACAGTAACCTTATATGATCAGTTACAATTACTAGATACAGGCAGATCTAGTTAACCGACCCAACCGGTTACTTTCACTCGAGCGGATCGGTTACAATAATTACGAGAATCATCAAGTTACACTTACTAGAACCAACCATATACAGTTACCCAACTTGAGCACATTTACTAAACATGATCAATTATAGTTACTGATTGCACTAGTTAAAAGGTCCGACAGTGAAACCTGCCGGTCACCACTACCCCACCCCCGACTTGACTCTCCATCCCCCTGCTACCTCCTCACCCCTCCCTAACCCCCTAGCAACCCCTTATCCCTCATCCACCTATCCATCCGCCTCCCACCTCCCCAGCCCCTTCCCACCCGCCCCATCCCCTGTCAAACAATGACTAGAGCTATTTAAGTGCTTTGTGTTACATTTAAGTTAGGAAAATTAAATTGGCTAATACCATTCCCAACACACATGAAATGAGTGTTAAAGTATGGACTTATCACATGGCAGTAGATAGTATATGTTGAATAAAAAATAGATTGTGTTGAGTATGGGCAATTAACCTGACATTAGATAGTGTTGTGTATGAGGGCTGAATGACTGCAATTAACCATATATACTCTTACAACATTGATAGGATGTGAAATGATCATGACTATTAGTGCAATAATAAAGAGTAATATTGTCATGAAATGCAAAAAAACATAGGCTAAACTCAAACATAGCACAATATTGTTCTAAATTCCTAAATAAGGCTAATGGTACGGTGTTGATATTCATGTAATTTCTTATTGTATGTTTGTATTTTTAACTAGTTTTATTAGTTCTAGTTGTGGAAATTACACACTTTTGGTGTAATACTTTATTTTCATTTTTATCTGTAATTTAGTTAGATTAGGATTTTTCTGAGCTAAACAGGTCAAAGATCATCTAAGGGATCAAGATTGGACCTTAAAAGATCAAGGAAAGTGCAAGGAGACAAGAAAGATTTCGATTTGGAAAAAATACTCATGTACCCAGTCGGGTATTGCCTATACCCGATCGGGTAATTGCTTGATTCGACTGTCCAAATCAAATTCGAAGACAAATGATCGTGGGAGCAAATTTTCATAAAGATTTGTCGCATACCCGATCGGGTATATACCCTTACCCGATCGGGTATGCCCAGAAAAATCACTTTCTGGGCATTTTCCTGAGATACCCGGTCGGGTATCCTATATACCCGGTCGGGTATCAGACCCTGCAGCTCCCAAAAGCCTATAAATACACTCCTTTCCTTCCCAATAAAATCACCAATTCACATATACTCTTTAGCTCAGTTTAGATTAGTGTTTTCTTTATATTTTCTATCATATTTAGTCTCCAAATGAGGAGCTAAACTCTTCCATCTTGGTTTTGCTCCTTTGAAGCTTAATGAATTTGTAAGTTGTGAGTTATTATCTTTAATCTTCTTCCTTGAATATTAATTCTTCCTTTAAATACTATTTCTATATCAATGTTGGGGAGTGTTACTAAGATGACAATTAGTTAACATCTTGACATTAGTTATAGTAATAGTTATTTCTTCCTCTACGTTAATATCGGGGAGTGTTACTAAGATGACAATTAGTTAACATCTTGATATTAACTATAGTAGGATTCATCTTCTTTAATATTATTTCTTGAGTATTAATTAATTCCTATTCATATTTCATATTAATATTTTGAACATTACTTAAAGGATCAACTAGTTTTGTTTCATATATTAATTAATACTAGAATCGGTCGATTAATACGCTTGTTATTAATTCGGTCCTTTCACGGTAGTAAACTTGGATTATTAATTCATGCATCTCATGATTAATAATCTAAGGGTAATTAATTACATTGATTAACCAATAAACCGCTTGTGTTGAGGTTATCAATCTCAATCGTTTTCATCTTAAGTTTATTGCTACTATCAAGTTAATATACGGCGCTTGTTCTATATTGACTCGATAGTAAGTTTTATTAATGAACGCATCTCGTTATTAATAACTACCCTCGATGAACTGGATATACTCCTCGATTGAGTATTCGAGAGGAAGATAGTTAAAGATATAACCGGGATCGACGAACATTTCATTAAGTGGATTAAAGCAAAACCAAGTCTTCTTCTCATTAATTAACCCACATAACTCGTTCATCTTTGTGTTTGACGTGCACTTTGTCGTGAGGTGCACTCAAAGTAATAATACAATACGACACTAATACATAGTATAGTGTAGTAAGGTTCGTATCCACAGGGAAAGGAATACTTTTCTTCTTACAGAAATAGATAAGTAACAATAAGGGGGGTTTATATTTGGTTGATGAACTTTAAATTATATTTAAATACGAAGATGAATGAGTTATGTGGTTTAATTAATGAGAAGAAGACTTGGCTTTGCTTTTATCCACTTAATGAAATGTTCGTCGATCCCGGTTATATCTTTAACTATCTTCCTCTCGAATACTCAATCGAGGAGTATATCCAATTCATCGAGGGTAGTTATTAATAACGAGACGCGTTCATTAATAAAACTTACTACCGAGTTAATATAGAACACGCGCCGTATATTCACTCGATAGTAGCAATAAAATCAAGATGAAAACGATTGAGATTGATAACCTCAACACAAGCGGTTTATTGGTTTAATCAATATAATTAATTCCCCTTGGTTTATTAACCATGAAACGCATGCATTAATAACCCAAGTTTACTACCGCGAAAGGACCGAATTAATAACAAGCGTATTAATCGACCGATTCTAGTAATAATTAATATATGAAACAAAACTAGTTGATCCTTTAAGTAATGTTCAAAATATTAATATAAAATATGAATAGGAATTAATTAATACTCAAGGAAGAATATTAAAGAAGATGAATCATACTATAGTTAATATCAAGATGTTAACTAATTGTCATCTTAGTAACACTCCCCGATATTAACGTAGAGGAAGAAATAACTATTACTATAACTAATGTCAAGATGTTAACTAATTGTCATCTTAGTAACACTCCCCAACATTGATATAGAAATAGTATTTAAAGAAAGAATTAATATTCAAGGAAGAAGATTAAAGATAATAACTCACAACTTACAAATTCATTAAACTTCAAAGTAGCAAAACCAAGATGGAAGAGTTTAGTTCCTCATTTGGAGACTAAACATACTATAAAAATATAAAAGAAATACTATTCTAAACTGAGCTTAAGAGTATGGAAGAAGGGATTATTTTTAATGAAGGAAAAGTGTGATATTTATAGGTGTTTTTCAACACCTTTGGCCAAGTACCCGACCGGGTAGAGTATCTACCCGACCGGGTACTGGTCCGAATCAAATATTTTCCATGTTCTAATGTTCTTCAACACGCCGGGTTGTCTTCGGTCAAGTCTCACCCGACCGGGTGAGGTATAGGGCCCGACCGGGCCAAGCAATTTCCTGGAGACTGCAAATGTTAATTCAAACCCGACCGGGTGAAGGTTTCTACCCGGTCGGGTTTATTCTTCTGGGCAGCATCCTCCTTGTTTTTCTTCCTTTTCCTTGCCAACAATTCTACCAAAACTTCCTAACCCACAAATAAAAGCTAAAAACACTTACAAATAAAAAGTAAACAAATGTTTACAACTACACACAAATGGTAAACAATCCATACAAAACAAGATATAAAAATACACATTTATGCACTACTAACTAGTGCATATCAGTGTTTTAATATTCTAAAAAGTTCTTCAACAACAAATCTAAAAACCCCCTTATTACTAGTTATAAAAAGAGAAGTATTCCTTTCCTTGCGGATACGAACCTTACTTCATTATACTACGTATAATTGTTGTATTGAATATTATTTTGAGTGCACACCACGACAAAGTGCACGTCAAATTTGGCGCCGTTGCCGGGGAAAGGCAATTATTTTTCTTTTTATTTTATTTCAAGAAAAATAAAAAAAAATAAAAAATTAAATAAAAATATAAACCAAATCACCGATCTATAAACCAAATCACCGATCTCTTGGAAAAATATAAAGAATTCTTATTTTCTATTTCTGAGCTTTGTTTGAGTATATGGTTAAACACCGATCTATAAACCAAATCACCTACCAAACAAATCCCGAAAACGGAACAAGCCTTCGAGAGGTTTAGGAATTTATTTCCGAATACTTCTTCGGAGGAATCATCAAGTGCTAGCTCCAACTCTAGCGAATTTGAAGAGCCAATCACTATGGCTCAAGAGACAAGAACATTGAGGGAGCTCACAGCTCCGAACTTGAATCAACAACCATTGTGTATTAGCTTCCCTACTCTTGATGAGGGTAATACGTTTGAGCTAAAATCTGGGCTCATTCATCTGCTACCATCCTTCCATGGCCTAAGAGGGGAAGATCCGAACAAACACCTCTCAGAGTTTCACATCGTTTGCACAAGCATGTGTCCAAACGGTGTGACTGAAGAACAAATCAAACTAAGGGCCTTTCCATTCTCTTTGAAGGACACCGCGAAGGATTGGCTTTTCTATTTCCCTTCTGGGAGTATCAACACATGGGCGCAAATGAAGAAATGCTTCCTTGATAGGTATTATCCAGCTTCTATCTCGTCTTCTCTCAAAAAGCAAATAAGCAACATCGAGCAAAAGGATGATGAGTCTTTGTATGAATTTTGGGAACGATTTAAGAAGCTATGTGCCAGCTGTCCCTATCATGGATACTCAGAACAAGACCTCATTTTATATTTTTATGATGGTCTTTGTGATGATGATAGAAGAATGGTGAACGCCGCCTGTGGAGGCGGCATTGTCAATAAAACACCTTCACAAGCCATAAACCTTATCTCGGAGTTGGCCGAGAACTCACGGCAATTCGGTCGCAAATCCTCAACTCGTAGGGTGGCCGCTGCAGAATCGACATCATCATTATTGGAGAGTCAAGTTGCCGGGTTGACTTCTTTGGTTAAGGATTTCCTCCTAAAATCCAAGACCCAAGAAGTCAAGGTCTGCGGCATTTGTACACACCAAGGGCACCCCACGGACTCATGCCCAACTCTTCAAGAAGACAATCTAGAGCAAGTCAACGCCTTGGGTTTCCAAGGACATCAACAAAGGAGGTACGACCCACTCTCAAACTCTTACAACCACGGATTTAGGGATCATCCAAACTTGAGGTACGGAAACCCCCAACAATCTAACCCATCTTCTCAACCACCTTTCAACAATCAAGGCTCAAATTCTCAACCTAATATGTCAACTGATGACATGATAAGAGCTTTGACTTCAAACATGGTTACCATGCAACAAAGCATGGGACAATTTCAACAAACCATGATACAATTCCAACATGAGACAAAGTCAAGCATAAAAAATTTGGAAACTCAAGTTAGCCAAATTTCAAATGTGGTGAGCCGACTTGAAGCAAAGGACTCGGGTAAACTCCCATCTCAAACGGAGCAAAACCCGAGACAACATGTGAATGCTATCATGTTGAGGAGTTAGAGAAGGAAGAACAAAAGGTTGAGCAAGTTTATCGTGAAGAGGAAGCTCACTCGGAGGAGGGAAACACAAAGGCAAAATTGCCTCCACATTCATCATATGAACTAGTGGCCCCATTCCCCGAGGCACTGAGGGAAACAAAGAAGCCAAGGAAAGATGCGGATAACTATGAGACTTTCACCAATTGTGAGGTAAACATTCCACTCCTTCATTTGATTAAAAGTGTCCCTCGATTTGCTAAATTTTTAAAAGAATTATGCACAATCAAGAGGACACAACACTCAAAAGGAAAACAGAAAGTTGAAATTAGTGAACATGTTTCGGCAGTTTTTCAAAGAAAACTCCCAAAAAAATGTACTGACCCGGGCATGTTCACTATACCGTGCAAGCTAGGAGACACTATTTCTAGGGCCATGTTAGACTTAGGGGCATCAATTAACGTGATCCCCTATTATCTTTATAAATCTTTGAACCTTGGCCCTTTAAATAAAACTGGTGTCGTAATTCAACTGGCCGATAGATCAACTATTTTCCCAAAAGGGGTAGTGGAAGATGTACTAGTTTCGGTAGGTGATCTAGTGTTTCCTGCCGATTTTTACGTACTTGAAATGGAGAGTGATAAATATGAAGTCCCTATTTTATTAGGGAGACCATTTTTAAAAACTGCTAATTCAACAATCGATGTTTCTAGCGGACGTTTAACTATGAAATTTAATGGAAGGAAAATAGAATATAACATTTATAATTCTATTAAAAATCACTCTCCCTTTATAGAATCAATTTTGATCATTGAGGAATCACTAGATAAATGTAACACCCCGATTTTGTGAGCTAGTTAAATTAATCATTTATTATCATTATTAATTATTTTGACCAATTAATAAATAAAGTTCTTGTATGAATAATGTGTTTTATTGTGAGATCTTTGTTTTGGTTGCAGATAACGTTGATCGGTAAGCTCGAATAATTAAATATATAAATAGTTATGTGTTCGAAAGTAATTCAGTTTATTATTTTCGTTAAAGGGAGACCTTTATTGTTTTAGTTCGGGCAGAAATAATTATGTTTAGAGATAATAAAAGGCCCGAATCAATTATGTCAAAGCCCAAATAAATTTCCTCTATACTAAATCCCTAGAAAGATACTTCGTATATATGTATGCGTATATACATAGCAGCTTTAATAAAAATAAATAAAACCTGACTCTAGCGCTACGTATTCCGCCCCTGCGCATAAGCTTTCTTCTTTCTCAATTGTGCCTTGAATCAAAGTCCTCAAACTTGTAAGTTTATTCTGCAATTTTTTTTCCTTAGTTAATTTTATAAGTCTTGATATTTGGAAGAATGTTTTCATCGATCTTTTATTCAATCACTCCTGGGCGTAGCAAATTTATTTGTTTTCCATGCCTCAGATAGATTTTACTAAACAATGGATCTATTTCAAACTAATCGCAAATCAAAGTGACTGCTGTTGTTCTTAAAAAAAAAAGGAATTTATATATAGTTTTGAAGACGTATTTTGTTTGGAAAACTATGGCTTTAAAGTTGAGCTTGGGTAGTTCAATGGGTTACTGGGTATGCAGCTACCATTGGGAAATTTTCATAAATTCAAATTAAACTATGCAGTAGAACAAACTCATAGTTGTATTTTGCTGATTTGGGTTTTACTAAGCAGAAATTTGCTTCTTCATTTACGAAATTAATACCTAAATTGGGGTAGGTGTGTTTACAGATCTTTAATTTGTAAAACTGCATTTTATATCCAATCTGGAACTCATGTACACTGCTTCGTACATGATTGGGTTAGCAAAAGTCATCCCCATTTTTTTGTTTTAGAGTGCAGCAGTAGTATATTTTATCAAGAGGGTTTGCTTTGTTGGGAAAGTAATATTCTTATTGAATTTTTTACATTTAATTAAAGATTTAAAAGAAGAGCTTACCGAAAGACGTTATCAAGGTGCCACACTTATCTGAATATTATGAATTCAGCTGTTGAGAGGTAAGTTCACTACCACCTGTACATGTTTGTTCAACCAAATAAAAGAAAGAAGTCTGGTTAATTTTTAATAGATGCTATTATGTGAACCTGGTGAATTATTTGTTGAGTTATTTTATTTGGTGTATTAAGTTATGTTTATTATCTGGCATAGTCAAGATTTTGTCAGTACTTTTATTTTCAGATTTAATGATATTTTTAGGCAAATGTCACCATAAAAAGGAACTAATATTTAAAGTGAAAGATAAGGTGATATGTACTCGGGAACAAGTTCCCTCAGATTAGCAGTTTTCAGTTTCAGATAGTCCGATATGTTTAGTGGGTCGCTCCCCTGGGCTGTCGGATTGGCGCCTTTGAGTACATATCACGGGCCCACAGAGTAAAATTAGCCACAAAGAGTTATACAGAAAGTTTAATGAGATCTCTTTCAGAAATTTTACAGAAAGTTGTTTTTGAGATCACTTTCAGAAAGTGTTACAGAAAGACGTTTTTGAGATCTCTTTTAGAAAGTTTTACACAGATGTTTTGAGAAGAAATTTTGAGATCTCTCCAGCAGTTTTGAGAAATTATTTTAGAAAATATTTTCCTTTTGAGATCTCACTCAGAATGTATTTGAGAAGTTATGTGTTAGTTATTTGTTCAGTGCATGCTTATAGCCTAAATTTATCTATTGATAAATTGGCATAGACTTCTAGATATTTTTGTGGATCCATAGTGACTTACTAAGCGTAAAGCTTATCAGTTTTCTTTCTTCGCATGTACAGATACTAAGGGTAAGGCCAAGGCCTAGGAAGATGATGAGGGTGTGGAACGCGTGCCAAGATGAGTTAACGGGAACGACCTTGGCGACTTTTAGTTAGATATTATTTTGTTTCAGTATTTTAATGTTATAATAAAGAGATTATTATTATTTATTTTATTTGAGGATTTAACGTTTGAATAAATTCCTGGATCCAGGTGGTTATCACATTTGCTGGTGATAACTAGATTTTATTGAGTTTTTATTTGGAACTATATTTTAGTTATATTTGAGATTTTATCAGGGTTATTTTCTTAAATAGATGACCATTATATTGCAGTTATTTTTAAAAGTAGTAAGTTAGTGTAACGTTTCCTTTAACCATGAGAGGGGCGTTACAAGTTTGGTATCAGAGCCCAGGTTGTCTCGTAACTTCATTTGTCACCGTACATGTGCTCGTCATCTTCCAAGTAAGTACTTATTTATGTTAAAAGTTATTTATGTGAAAATAAATTTGCAGTGTTGTTGGCATTAGTTAGATAGAAAAGTCAAGTAAGAGTAAGAGTAATATGTACTGAACTCGTAAAAGCTTTGTGGTGGTACAAGTTATTTAGATTAAATTTATTCGAGTGCCTATATTCTTGAGTTAGGTCTTCTACTTCATTTAGGAAGTACTTAGGGATGTTATATAAAAACACCATCGTTCAAGTCATACACCTTCATAATTAAGTATCTGCAGCCTTCCATTTTTTTAGCCTTTGTTGATCTTTCATAGCAAATATTCCTCATACATAGAGATTGCTCATGATTAAAATCCGAGTTAAGTTGAAAAATAAAAATAAAAAGTGTCATATAGTCTTGATCTTCTCATGATTGAGTAAATGAATTATGTCACAAGCAGTGCTATTCCAGCTGTCCTTTTATATAGCTTGTAGTTTATTCATTGCCTAAGATTTGTTAGTTATATTTTGAAATTAAGAAGAATAATAAAGAGTTTGTCTGATATTTTTAAAGCATCACATGTAATTGAGTTTACATGGGATTACGAATTTCCGTAAGCATACAAAATCAGTTTGTTATGTATTTTTATTTATTATTAAAATCATAAAATAAAATAAATAAATAAAACGTCGTGCCGCGACGTTAACTAAGGCGCTTCTTGGGAGGCAACCCAAGCTAAGGTACACAATTTTTATTTTTTTTTCTTTTCATTTTCAGTTTGAATGTCAACTTTGAGAGAATGAGGGACAATTCTCCAAAGAAAAAGAGAGAAAAAGCATGTTTTAAAAGTTTGGGGAAACCTCCGATCGGGCATAATCACTTACTCGACCGGATCCCAATGAAAAAAATGGACAAAATCAAAACCCAGGGTAATATACCCGATCGGGTAACACCTACACCCGGTCGGGTATATGCGAAAATAACAGAGGTCAGGATCGAGTACTCTATACCCGATCGGGCATATTTCTTGGCTCGATCGGGTATATTTTGGCGAAATCCTACGGCACAACAAACCCGACCGAGTACACCCCATACTCGATCGAGTACACGACCCCTGGAGCGTTTTTGAAAAAAAAAATGAGGTTATACCCGGTCGGGTATATTAAAATGATTTTCTGGGAATTTCTACGGCGCAAATCACCCGATCGGGTATCATCCCTTACCCGGTCGGGTACACAAGTTTTAAACCCAATCCGGACGCCCAAAATCAGTCATTTTCCCCAAATTCCTCCTCAAATTCAAACCTTCTCTCTAAAAACCCCTCCATTCCCAAACCTTATTTCTTCAATTACACCCTCATTACTCACCCAAATCCACCCAAACCACCACCAAAATACTCCCCTTACTCTCCTCTACAATCGAACACTCAAAATCTTCATCTCCCCACATATTTACACAAAGTTCAGGTCAAATCAAGGGAACAATTCAAGGCTACGAGGATGTCTGTTTCAGCCCGGGGATGACGGAGACGAGCACTAGGGACAGTGCTTCGATCTAAGTGAGGGGGAGTCACTCATTGATACGTACTTAAGTTTGATACCTTGTAACTGGCATTATTTTCTTCACACAAAAAAAAACAAAAACAAAAAAAAAAGTAAGAAAAAAGAAAACAAAAAAAGAAAAAAAAGAAATGCTAGTTAGGTTGAAAACCCAAAAATTGGCAATCTAAGCCAAAAGGGCTTATAAAAATGAGTGAGTGGAAAAGATGAAAAAATAAAAAGAGTTGCTAGGATGAAAACCTGAAAAGGCTCCTAGGCAAAATGAGAGATATGAGATATATATTTGTATTTACAGGACATCATTTAATCTCTTGAACATGAAAAGAGGAGAAGAAAGGAGATGAGCATAGAAGGCCATGAAACCCAAGAAGATATTGTTCTTTAAGCTAAACACTCAATGTAAAACTCAAGTTTTATCCTTGGTGGTCTTTTGATTCTTCTTGTTGATTGTTGAACTCTTGAGGACTTGGAACTATTAAACATTTGACTTTACTCGAGGACGAGTAAAGAAGCTAAGTGTGGGGGAGTTGATATTCATGTAATTTCTGATTGTATGTTTGTATTTTTAACTAGTTTTTATTAGTTCTAGTTGTGGAAATTACACACTTTTGGTGTAATACTTTATTTTCATTTTTATTTGTAATTTAGTTAGATTAGGATTTTTCTGAGCTAAACAGGCCAAAGATCATATAAGGGATCAAGATTGGACCTTAAAAGATCAAGGAAAGTGCAAGGAGACAAGAAAGATTTCGATTTGGAAAAAATACTCATGTACCCGGTCGGGTATTGCCTATACCCGATCGGGTAATTGCTTGATTCAACTGTCCACATCAAATCCGAAGACAAATGATCGTGGGAGCAAATTTTCATAAAGATTTGTCGCATACCCGATCGGGTATATACCCTTACCCGATCGGGTATGCCCAGAAAAATCACTTTCTGGGCATTTTCCTGAGATACCCGGTCGGGTATCCTATATACCCGGTCGGGTATCAGACCCTGCAGCTCCCAAAAGCCTATAAATACACCCCTTTCCTTCCCAATAAAATCACCAATTCACATATACTCTTTAGCTCAGTTTAGATTAGTGTTTTCTTTATATTTTCTATCATGTTTAGTCTCCAAATGAGGAGCTAAACTCTTCCATCTTGGTTTTGCTCCTTTGAAGCTTAATGAATTTGTAAGTTGTGAGTTATTATCTTTAATCTTCTTCCTTGAATATTAATTCTTCCTTTAAATACTATTTCTATATCAATGTTGGGGAGTGTTACTAAAATGATAATTAGTTAACATCTTGACATTAGTTAAAATAATAGTTATTTCTTCCTCTACGTTAATATCGGGGAGTGTTACTAAGATGACAATTAGATAACATCTTGATATTAACTATAGTAGGATTCATCTTCTTTAATATTCTTTCTTGAGTATTAATTAATTCCTATTCATATTTCATATTAATATTTTGAACATTACTTAAAGGATCAACTAGTTTTGTTTCATATATTAATTAATACTAGAATCGGTCGATTAATACGCTTGTTATTAATTCGGTCCTTTCACGGTAGTAAACTTGGATTATTAATGCATGCATCTCATGATTAATAATCTAAGGGTAATTAATTACATTGATTAACCAATAAACCGCTTGTGTTGAGGTTATCAATCTCAATCGTTTTCATCTTAAGTTTATTGCTACTATCAAGTTAATATACGGCGCTTGTTCTATATTGACTCGATAGTAAGTTTTATTAATGAACGCATCTCGTTATTAATAACTACCCTCGATGAACTGGATATACTCCTCGATTGAGTATTCGAGAGGAAGATAGTTAAAGATATAACCGGGATCGACGAACATTTCATTAAGTGGATTAAAGCAAAACCAAGTCTTCTTCTCATTAATTAACCCACATAACTCGTTCATCTTTGTGTTTTAATATTCTAAAAAGTTCTTCAACAACAAATCTAAAACCCCCCCTTATTACTAGTTATAAAAAGAGAAGTATTCTTTTCCCTGCGGATACGAACCTTACTTCATTATACTACGTATAATTGTTGTATTGAATATTATTTTGAGTGCACACCACGACAAAGTGCACGTCAGGTGTCTATTTGGACAAAGACCAAAGGGTCAAATAGGCCCTTGAACTAATATACTTATAGCAGCCTTTTGGAATGTCTAGCCCCAACCACTGCCATAGCCGCCGGCTACTGGCCACCGGCGACAACCTCCAGCCACCGCCCATCGTTGCCGACTTCAGGCCTTCGAGCTGATCCACTGTCGATTTGCCCCATGCCATTGTCCGCTATAAGCCGACACAAATTTCCAGAATAGATATTGCCGCCACCAACGTACTCTCCCAGTTATTCAAGGGAGCTGGGGGGACAATCATTTAATTATATTAGATTGTGGGTATTAAGGGCACGAAATTATTGTGCAATCCTATTTAAAAAAGATTTAGATGTTACTTCCATTTGTACAATTATGTTTACATTTAATCCCATTAAGGATAATTACACTCAATAGATTCCTAAAGTGGATGAGAAGAGAATTTATGTTGCCGAATGATAAGCCTGTATTTTGACTCAAGTTATGTTTACCGGGCGTTGGTTCAAGTTTTGTGCTGTTTAGAGTCAAAATCAGGAAATTAGATTCCCGCATCGGCGCTTGAGAAGCAATCGAGACGAGTTGAGAAGCATTTGAGAGTGAAATGAGAGATTTGGAGGTCACCGGGAAGTTCACGATAAAGATTTGATGACAATGGAGATCTAGGATTGGTTATGGGATCAAAAGAAGACAAATAGAGCTTAAAAGGGGCGATCAGGATGACCTTCGGTCAATCGTTCAAACATATCTCTTTGTAGAAACATCCAAAGAACACGATTCAAGTTTCATATGAAAGCTAACTTCAAGGGATAGAAATCATATGCAGACATTATCCTGATAATATGAGAGGAGAAAGGTGAAAATGGACATTGGAGTCAAATGATCGCTATTCAGATTTTAGAATGCAACCTTCCACCATTTTATTCATATCATTCGATTAGATGATTCAAATCCAATTCTGCAAGTTATGGTGGATAGAGGACTTCACTATCAACAACTTTTCTGAAGGAAGTTTTGTCAAAATTGGACGAGAAAAGGTCAGGCACGGTCGTGCTTAGCAGATAGGCACGCCGTGCATGAAGAAGAAACAGGTACCACGCCACTGTCGTCCACGCTCAGCCGAGCGTACGTGCAGGTCCGCTTGGCGAGCGTGGCCCCAAAACGGGAAAATAGGCTCTGGACGCTCAGCGTGGGCACCGAGTGTGCTCCCCAGAAGACCCGATTTCGCTCGAATTTGTCCGTTTTCTATAAATAAGGCATCCATACTCCTATTTTGGGTTTACGAAAATTACGGAGAGGCCTAGGGACGAATTAACTTGCGTTTTTACGTCGTTTTCTTCAAGAACCCTGTGATTATTTGAAAGTTCATTCTTTTTAATTAATGACAATTATTTCTATTCATCCATATTCTGTTGATTATTCAATTATGAGTTGTGAGTGGTTTAATTAGAGATTTGGGATTGATGAAGGGGTTAATCATGATGTATGGCTAGGTTCTTGTCAGACTAATTGCATGAATGGTTTAATTGTGTTTAATTTGTGTTTGATTAATTTAACTGAGATCTCTTGTAACCTAGAACGCACGCTAGAATTACAATTGCATGTAGAATAAATTAAGAGAGATCTAGTTTATTCTAGGACACATTCACACACACTTAGTCATTCGCTAAGAGATTAGTAGGGATTAAGGGGTAGTAAGCTCGCTCGTCTTGGCAATAATTTAGGATCCTATCGCATGAGAGATCAACCTAGTCCCCTAAATTATTGTACATACTCTACCCCGCGAGAGCGGTAAGAACTTAGTAATGATTAGCTAGGCTCAATTAAACCAATTTTATGTGATTAAGCCTGATCTGCCAGAAATCTGGTTATCTCAGAATCAATCCCTTTCCGTTCGTCGTTAATTGAGAAGAACCCAATCTTTTATTTAATCGCTTCTTAGCATTAATTTAATTTTAATTCAACCAACCAACCTCGCACTTCACATTTATTTTATTTCTTTTTAATCGCTGAATTTAGTTCATTCTTATTTCTATTTTATCCGTCCCTGTGGAGATGATACTCATACTTCAACCACTATTCTACAATCTTTTAAAGTGCGAGAAAACTCACATCATGGAAGTACACTGATTGTTAGCGGATGTGCATTAATGTCGTACAACAACTCGCTAATTAAATGAACTATTTTTAATTATATATTGCACAAAAGTAGTGAAATTGCACATATTTTAAATAAGGGTATTTTCGTTATTCAACTTTTTAATGTGACGAGATAATTTTATACTTTCAATAATCATATGAATGTCTAAAACAAAGGTAGTCATATTTAAGGAAGTTAAATATTTTTATTTATATCCCTGAAATTTTCCCTTAACAACTATATTTATATTTATAATATTTATAATCAATTTATGTACTCCCTCTTCATTGCATTTTTCATTTTGGATTGTCCAAAATAGGTCACATATTTCCTTTTTTAGAAAGAAGTATATGTGGTCTAAATCATTTCATTTTAATATATATAAATCTACACTATAATTTTTTCTTTTTTAACCACTTTATTACGTAGTTCGATAATAATAACTAGGGCAAAACAAAACATGACACATAAAATGAGACGGAGGTAGTAGTATATTGAAAAATGACATTGCACATTTTACTAATAGAGTAATATATATATTTGCAAAGTCTCATTACATGTTTTGTAGGTTTGTAAGATTTCTCTTATCTTGGCATTGATTCCATGTATCAATGATGTTCAAGTAGATTACTGTAATATCATAATCTCCATATGCCATTTTATCATTCTCATGATACACCCAATACCAAAAGCATTCTTTTCCCTGATTTCTAACCTCAGGGCAACAATCGGGAAAAGGATATGTTGTTGGAGGAACACGCCCATCATTTCCATCATTTTGAATATATTGCATTATAAGCTTCCAACACTCATCATTTGGTTCCGGTTTGGAGCATTGAAGAGTAAGATCACATAATGAGAGCCTTGCTTTTCCAAATGCTAACAATAAAACGAAAGAGATGATGTAGATTCGCATTTTTATTTCTCTTGGCCTACCAAGGACAATAAATCGATACAATAAAGTTTCTCCGTGGTTTCGCTTTCACATGAATTTATAACAATATTTTTGCTAAATTCTGCAATAAATATAGTTTATGTAAGCTCGCCTCAATCGTTATCAATGTTAATGTTACAAGGTAACAAAATAAAACTTGTTGTTACAACTAGTAATAATAATGAACTATTCAATGGACGAATTTATTACATATTTTTACATAGAAGAGGCAAATAGATGTCAAGTATTTTATTTAGAGAGATTTACCTAAAAAGTACTAAAACTTATGAAAAAATCCATATTAGGACCATCACTTTTCCGTGTAATAGCATAGGACTATAATATAGATGAAATATCAAAACTGCCCTGCAAAGCCACTCTTCTTTCGTTCGCGACTTTGAAGCTTGCGCTGAAGGATGCCTCTGCAACGCTAGCCACTTCTTCTTTCAATCTTCTTTATTTTCTTTCTTCCACCGTTAATCTCTTTTCTTCTCTTTTTGGATTTTTTTTTTTAACCCCGGAAGGCAAACCTCACACCCGAGGGGCAAATGCCGGGGGACACTTGCCAGACTTTATTAAAAGTAGCGGGAGATACAAAATGAGAGGGGGACTATACCAAAACCTCTCGGCAGAGGCATTCCTCTGAGAAAAATTAACACAAAGTCAAACATAAGTAAAAGTCAAACAACTATGAACGGGGGCCAGACCTGACCCGTAAAAAGTAAAATAAAAAAGCACAGCCAGAGAAATTAATAAAAGCAACGAAAAGTCGGGAAACCAAATAAATCTCTGTAATAAGCCTGACGAGCCAAAATAGGAAGATCCTCGGGTCTATTAAAACGAACAAACTGGGCCGAGGATCGGATCGCAAGTTGGTGGGCTACCTCATTACACTCGCGCCAGTTATGTACGAAAACCAACCCTTTCCTAATTTCCATCTGCTTCATTTCCTGAATAATACTCCTCCATCTTCCTTGTCCTACCTGAGACAAATAATGAACAGCCTTACTCGCATCCGTCTCAATACTGAAATTGGAGAACCCTTCTTCCACAGCCCAACGAGTAGCCATCGCAACTGCCAGAATCTCAGCTTCCAAGCACGAAGACGCGACGATTGGGAAAGAAATGGCAGCCACGAGATCTCCTGTCGGACTTCTCAGAATCGCCCCACCTCCTGCTTTGCCCGGAATAAAGGTAGCATCAGTATTTAGCTTGTAATTGGTTTTTGGTTTAATCCATCTGATTGCTCTGATTTTGGTCCCTGTAAGTTTGAAGTTCTTCATCACCAACCTTTCTTCATATAAAATTTCACCCAGAGACCTAACCTTCAAATTTGAAAAGCTAGCAGACCAAGATTGTGTAAAGAGCCTAATTTGCAACATAATCTAATTAGAAATAGGAATGGTAGTATTGGAACCCCAAATGATACCAGTATAACTTTTCCACACCTGCCAACAAATTATGCCCGGCAAATTGTATTTAAAGATATCAATCACAGTCTTACTACCTGCTTTCAGCCACCAACTAATAAGAACCTGCCTAATAGTCCCATTACCATTCAACTTTGGGATTCCAAAAGTGCCCATAAAATAATCCCAGATGGGCTTCACTACCTCACAGTTAAATAATAAGTGATCCATGGAATCCTCTTGTCTCCTACATAAGGGGCAAATAGAGGGATTAAGGATAATATGAAATCTCCTGAGGTTGTCAGTTACAGGCAGAATACCATGGAGAATTTTCCAAAGTAAAATATTAATCTTCATAGGTTGTTTAGGATGTCAAGCCTGCTGAAATGAGAAAATAGTGGGTTGAACCTCTCTAACAGTTTCATAAGCAGATTTGAAGGAAAAAATGCCATCATCTTCAGGCTGCCAAATCAAGTTACCCTCCTGATTATCAATTGCCAATGCATGGATATTACAGATTCTTCTCCAAATAGGAGAGTCTGTAACTTTAGGCACCATGTTCAACCCTCTAGGATATCTAGCAAAGAAAAATTCATTCCACAGTGAGCTACCATTTCTTCACTTCCACCACAGTTTGAGAGAGAAAGCCCTTTCCAAACAAGATAAAGATCTGATTCCTAGCCCACCCTCCTCAGTAGGTAAGCATAGTTTTGGCCAAGATAACCAATGATAATGTTCTTTGTTGTTAGTAGACCCCCAAAAGAAACTAGACATCTTCTTTTCCAGAATGGTAATGACTCCTTTAGGCATAGTATCAGCAGCTAAAACATGTAAGGGAATAGCACTTATTGATAAGAATAAGCCTGCCTCCTTGTGAAAGATTTCTGCTTTTCCATGGCGTAAGTTTAGCTTCAAACTGCTTAATGATATTATCAAAGTAATGAAATCTATTAATTCCTTTATGTAATTTGATGCCCATATATTTCATGGGAAGACCAGAAGATTGCATGCCAAGGATAGTCTTAATGCTTCTACATCTTGATCTGGCAGATTTTCCAAAGATGAAAGAACTTTTCTCCAAATTTACTGCTTGACCTGAAGCTTCTTGGTAAGTCTTAATAAAATTTGAGAAATTAGTCAGTGATCTCCTATCCCCATTTAGGAAGATGAGAAGGTCATCAGCAAATCCTAAATGAGAGATAGGAAAGCCATGATTGCCCATCCAGAAAGGCTTAATGAGACCACTTTCCATCTGCCCTTTTAAACCCCTAGAAAAAGACTCAGAAGCAAGTATAAAGAGAAATGGGGACAAAGGGTCACCCTGCTTGACCCCCCTCTTAGGCTTAAAAAACCCTTGTGGAACCCCATTAATCAAAATAGATAGATGAGTTGCTTCCAGATTGTTAATCACCATTTGAATGAATTGTGGAGAAAATCCAAATCTATCCAGAACATCTTGAATGAACTTCCAAGAAAGCCTATCAAAGGCTTTAGCCATATCAAGCTTAATAATCACATTGGAGCCTGTAATTTTCTTATCTATAGAATGCACCATCTCCTGAGCAATCAGAACTTGTTCAACAATGTCTCTATTCTGCATAAAGCCTTCTTCCTGTTCCTCTGAAATCAACTTAGGCAATAATGTAATTAATCTGGCAACCACCACTTTAGTACAGACCTTATTAATGAAATTAGATAAACAGATGGGCCTAAAATCACCAAAAGTAGCAGGATTTTCCACCTTAGGAATGAGTGCCAAAAGACTGCTAGCCATACCTGTAGGAATAGGCATACCCATAAAGAATTCTTGTACCGCACTAATAACATCCGGGCCCACAATCTCCCAACATTTCTTGAAGAATTTTCCATTGAAGCCATCAGGCCCAGGAGCTCCATTTTGATTCAAGCCCCAAACAGCCTCTTTTACTTCATTTTCATTAGGTAATTGCATAAGCATATTATTATCCTTGTAACACCCCGGCCCCGCAGGCCCCGAGGGAGTTACTCCAGACCACTAGTACTGTCCTCACAAACCGCCACTAGCCTTTTCCACGCACTTTGTCCTCACTCGTGCGCGCCCTGAGAAACTTCCCAGGGGGTCACCCATCCCAAGACTACTCCCGTGCAAGCACGCTTAACTTTGGAGTTCTTAGCGGATGAGCTCCCTTAAAAGGAGATGCATCTTGTTGGTATGAGTAGTACTATTAATCCGTTTATATTAAATCTCAAGTGTTACAATCACCCCCACTTAGGATCGCAACGTCCTCGTTGCGCCCTTAAACAAATCTCAATCACACCCCAGAATCTTTCCCCCTGCTAAGTGTCCGCCTGATATCCAACGGATCAACACACTGTCGCAGGGTTGCTCTGATACCACCTGTAACACCCCGGCCCCGCAGGCCCCGAGGGAGTTACTCCAGACCACTAGTACTGTCCTCACAAACCGCCACTAGCTTTTTCCGCGCACTTTGTCCTCACTCGTGCGCGCCCTGAGAATCCCAGGGGGTCACCCATCCCAAGACTACTCCCGTGCAAGCACGCTTAACTTTGGAGTTCTTAGCGGATGAGCTCCATTAAAAGGAGATGCATCTTGTTAGTATGAGTAGTACTATTAATCCATTTATATTAAATCTCAAGTGTTACAATCCTCTTATGTGACTAACCTTGGTATATATTGCAGGATATTTGCATAATCAATTTGCTCTTCCACTGAATATAGTCCAGAAAAATAGGAGACTGCTTCTACCCCCAAATCAGGTAAAGAATCAATCAACATCCCTGCACTGTTGTATAAAGAAGTAATTTGCTGCTTCTTATGTCTAGCCTTGATAAAAGAATGGAAGAAATGTGAGTTAGAGTCTCCATCTTTAAGCCACTGAATATGAGCTTTCTGTTTCCAGTATTTCCTTTCCAAAACATATTGCCTTAAGCAAAGCTCTTTGATGAAACCATATTTCTCTCTTAGAGTCACTAGGGTCAGTTTCATAGTCTTTTTCAGCCTGCGTGTATCTTCAAATATGTTTCCAAAAACATTCTTGTTCCAAATCTTAAGATCCTGTTTAAGATTTTTTAGTTTAGAAACTAACCCTCTCATACCTCCTCCAAACATATTTTTACACCAGCTGAGTTTCACTACCTCCATGAATGAGTGATGAGTTAGCCAAATATTCTGAAACTTGAATGATTTTGGACCCTGTCAGACTCCCTTTTTACATTGCATAAGTAGAGGACTATGATCAGATGGGGTTTTTTCCAAAATACTAATCTGAGCAGTATCAAAGTAATCAATCAGATTAGAGTTGACCAAATATCTATCTAATCTCCTCCAAACTCTTCCATTTGACCTGACTCCAGTTCAGGTGAATAACGGACCTTGAAAAGGTAAATCAAGAAAATTACACTTGGCAATACTTTCAGAAAATTCCAGAATACTGTCAGTATTAGGAATTGCAGACCCATGATGCTCACTGTGTTGCAATAGCATTAAAGTCCCCTCCAATTATCCAAGGTTCATGATTAGAATCTGCACAAGAAGCAAGAAAATCCCACATCTCCCTCCTTACAATATGATTATGTTTACCATAAATAACAGTAAACCAACCTACATAAGAGCCACCTTTCACATAAAAAC